CCATAAACATTGACAAATGTCTGTCTCAACAGGGGTGAGTTCACTCTGGCTACTACAGTCATTGAGTCACAGACACCATTTGTGTTTTAGCTCCCTTACTGATAGTAGAGAAAGCTCAGAAGCATACTAGCGAGTTAATAACTCGTCAACTACCATAATTCAAAAGCACCATTCATTTTCATTGTAGAAGGTGACATTTTTTCCTGAGAAACAATGAGGAGGGGCTCCCAAGTCTCCTAGATGTGCATTCAAATGTCCAAATTTTCAGCTGGACTGTCCTTACCTGAGGAGGTCTATCTAGAACCAGTGACAAAGAATTACCTTTTTTTTTTTTTTTCTTTTGGAGACAGAGCCTTTGATACACCCAGGTTGTTCTGGAACCCTCTCTGTAGGCCTATGATGGCCTCCAACTCCAATGGCAGGATCCCAGACATGCATAACCACACCCAAGCATATATTTTTTTTTTCAAGACAGGGTTTCTCTGTATAGCTTTGGAGCCTATCCTGGCATTCACCCTGGAGACCAGGCTGGCCTTGAACTCACAGAGATCCACCTGCCTCTGCTTCCCAAGTGCTGGGTTAAAGGCGTGCACCAACGCCCCACTGACGGGGGTCTTACTATGTAACCCAGGCAGGCTGTCCTAGGTTGTGTAGCCCAGGCCGGCCTCTAAGTTCACCCTCCTCCTCAGTCTCCCTTCTTGAGTATGAGATCACAGACATACACCAGAACAACTAGCTAAAGATTAATTTTTTGTTTGTCTTAATTTTTACATTTGTTATTAGTGTGTGTCTGGACACTGTGTTTATGGTGTGTATGTGTGTGTGTGGTGAGTGCAGGTCCACACCAGAAGTCAGAAGACAACTTTAGGGAGTAGGTCCTCTCTTTCCAAGGTGGTCTCTTGTTTCTGTCATTCTGCACATCCCAGGCTAGCTGGCCCTGAGCTCCCTGCTGAGCTCTATTGTCTCCAGCACCCACCTTGCTATACAGGTTGCAGGGTTGAAGTCAGGTCCTTGGACTCTTGCTGCAAGCCCTTTTATCCATGGGATCATCTCACCAGCCCCTCCCCTCTTTTAAAAGGTTTAGTTATTTTTTGTGAGTGTATGTGTGCCCATGTGTGTGTACATGTATGCACATATGTGTGTGTGTGTGTCCTCACACATGCATGGGGGCCGGGATAGGTATTAGGTGTCCTGTCACTCTCCACCTATTCTTTCAAAGACAGAATCTCTCCCTGAACCAGGGGCTTCCCTTAGTCTGGAAGCCAGCAAGCCCCAGTGATCCTTCTATCTCCACACCCAGGTAGAGCTGGCATTTCAGGTGTGTGAATGTCGCCCAGCAGGTTACATGAGTGGTGGGAGCTCCTCTTGCCCCTAGGGCTATCTTTTGATTCCTTACAGGTAAACTGCCTTTGCCTCAGTGTAGCATGGGCACTTCCTGCCTGTATGGCATTTCTGTATCCCTGGCTTCCAGACACTCACCTGTTACATTGTGTTTGTCCTTAGCCAGAGTCACCAGAAGGCCAATGGGCAATGTGAGTGTCACTGGACCAGCTGTGGGAAGCCAAATACAGGTTGACCACTGGAAGGACGTGGAGTAGTTTGGAGACCTGAAGCCTTTTGTTTTATGTACTAGGACAGTTCAGAAGGGAAACACACAAGTTCCACAAGGCTAAGCCACCACTGCAGCCTCTCCAGGAAGATTGGGCCACTGACATGGCTGCATTGCACAGCTGGTTCCTGACTACAGTCCTTAGCTCATATTTTTGTAAAAGAGGACTTTTCTTTCCAGATGCCTATACCCATGCATAATACATCATCAAGAGAAGGGCCATCCCAGCTTGTGCAGCTTGGGCCTGCACAGCTGCCTGAGGCAGCCCTGAGTAAGAGGACAGGCCTAGAATCAGGAAAACCTGACTCCAACTCTCACTTCTGCTATTTGTTCTCCGTTAAAAACCAGAAGCCAGCTGACCTTTTAAAATCATGCTTTCCCCATTTGGGAAGCTGGGATAATTACAGTGCCTCCCTCCTTCTGAGTGTGGAGGAATCAAATGAAATAATCCACATGTAAAATTTTACCACAGCGCTTGCCACACTGAAGATGCTTAATAACATAACTATTATTTCCCATGGCTAACTTTTATTTTACCTTGAAAATTAAGGTACCTTTCCTGGGAAACCTTTCTGGATTCCTCCCCAGGCTGAGTCAAGTATGTCTGTATCTTTCCATCCCTGTTTGTGCGGCCTCTGGCTTCCTCCCAGAACTGTGACCTCTCGAAGTCAAAGATTTTGTCTTTCCTATTTGGATCACCGGCATCTAAAACAATTCTGGCACACAGTAGGTACTCAATAAATGCTAACAGAGTGAACGGATACATGCATAAATGAAAAGATGAGTAAATGACTCCTAGCTGCTTTTTATACTTCCTGTTGAGAGCCTGTGACAGGGAAGGCAGAGAGGTAGGACAGGAGATCTGAGCCTGGACATTTGGCAAGGGCAGCTCAGCCTCTTCCTGTGGTCACTTTTTTGTAGAAGGAGAGCTGAATGAAATCTTGCTTGGAGCTGGAGTCTGACAAGGTAAACAAATCAAGCAGTGCACCTAGACAATGGCCTGATTCTCTCTGAAGGGGAAGGTGGGAACCGTGGGGAACCAGACAAACATCCTCTTCCAATTTCCTTCCTCTGCACTCAGCTCCCCTGAAGCGTCCAGCCGGCACCCCAGCCCTTGCTTCATAGAAGGCGTCTTCAGACCCCAGACTGGCCCCAGAGATACTGAGGGCGGGCGGGAGCTGCCGCAAGTCTGAATCACTCCTAACCACAATGGCCTTCGAACGACAAGAGGCTTTCTGTTTCTAGGGCCTGTACAAAAGTGGGGTTTATTTCTTATTTGCTTGCTTATTTGTTTTGAGGCACACAGTGCTTCCATGTGACCCCTGCCAACAACCTTCGCAAATATTGAACTTCAGAGCACCCGGGAATTTTTGCAAACACACACACACACACACACACACACACACACGGGCAGAAGTAGAAAGCTGGGGAAGATGTGGTTGTGCAGGAGCACATGTGAAAAGGAGCTTAGCAGCCCAGATGCCAGGGGGACCGGCGTGAGTCAGCTGGAGGATGTGGGCGCCAACAACCTCGGGCAGGCCTGGACCAAGCAGAGCATCCAGAAAAAGAAGGGTGCGGACTGGCTCTGCCTTAGCAGTGGTCAGACCACCCTGGAGGGCTGGCTCTGTCTGAAGGCCCATCATGTGACAGGAAAGGGTGTATTCCGAGGACAGCTACAAAGAAGCTGGGAGGAGGAGAAGCACTGAGGAGTTAGCAAAGCCTGGTGTGATAGCACACCCTTGGGAGACTGAGGCAGGAAGATCAATAGTTCGAGGCTAGCCTGAGGCTACGCGGTGAGACCCTATCTCAATATAAACAGTGAAAAAAGAGGGCTGGGAACATAGCTCAGTGGGAAGGTGCTCACCTAGCATGTGCAAGGCCCCAGCTTCAAACCTCAGTATTGGAAGAAAAGAAAAAGTTGGAGAAAAGAAAGAGAGCATGGGCCGGGCGTTGGTGGCGCCCACCTTTAATCCCAGCACTCGGGAGGCAGAGGCAGGAGG